GAGGCAAAATTCTGTCAGAGATTACAACAAAGCACAGCTTGTTGACAATACATGCAAATTAGGAACATGTAGTTTGGTTTAAATGTCTGGAAAAGTAGGAATCAACATCTGTGGAAATGAATTTAAAACCTGCAATGGCATAGAAATCATTGCAAGTATACTTACAAATAGAATCGTGGCAGAAATCTAGAGAAAAAAAATGTTCATATTCCCCTCTCCAGATAAAAGTTCAATCATTTTTTGCTTTGAAACAAGACATCAATGATTGGATTTATTACTAATTATTAAATCTGAAAAAAAATAAGGTTTTCCTTTCCTTCTCTTTTCACACCCTCCTAAGAACAGTTGTATAGATCAGTGGAATATGACAATAGCAACAATGTAGGCTATAATAAGAAGCAAAATGATTACGTTAGCTACAATATGAATAAATTAAAGGTTTTTATAATATATGCTTTCTTAATTATGAAGTGTTACTTTTTAAAAAATGAAATTATCTTTAACTGACCAGTTTTCCTTTGAAAAGCACATATATGCTAAAATTTCAAAAGCATTGAATGTGTTGTTGTTGTTGTTGTTAGGTGCCATCGAGTCAGTACTGACTCCTAGCAACACTATGTACAACAGAACAAAACACTGCCCAGTCCTGGGCCAATCTCACAATTGTTGCCACATTTGAGCCCACTAATGTTGCCACTTTGCCAATCCATTTTTATGGCAGTCTTCCTCTTTATCTCTGACCCTCCACCTTACCAAACATGATATCCTTCTCCAGCAACTGGTCCTTCCTGATAATATGTCTGAAATATGAAAGTCGAAGTTTGGCCATTCTGACCTCCAAGGAGCACTTTGTCTGCAATTCTTCCAAAATGGATCTATTGGTTCTTTGTCAGCCTATGGCACTTTCAATATTCTCCTCCAACACCATAACTCAAAAGCAACAATTCTTCTATGGTCTTCTTTATTCACTGTCCACCTTTCATATATATATATGAATGCACATGAGGTTATTGAAAATACCATGGCATGGGTCAGGTACACCTTAGTACTCAAGCTGACATCTTTGCTCTTCAAAACTTTAAAAAAAAAAGTCTTGTGCAGCAGATTTGCCTAATGCAATAAGTCATTTGATCTTTTGACTGCTGCTTCCATGAGTGTTGATAGTTGATCCAAGAAGAATGAAGACATTGACAACTTCAATCTTTTCTCTGTTGATAAGAATGTTGTTTATTGTTCCAGTGGTGATGGGTTTTGTTTTCTTTACATTGAGATGCAATTCATACCGAAAAGCTGTGCTCTTTGATCTTCCTCAGTAAGTATTTTAAATCCTCTTTACTTTCAGAAGCAAATTGTATCATCTACATATCAAAGGTTGTTAATGAGTCTTCCTCCAATCCTGATGCCATATTTTTCTTCATATAACTCAGCTTCTGGGATTATTTGTTCAGCATACAAGGTGAATAAGTATAGTGAAAGAATACAACCCTGTCACATACCTTTCTTAATTTTAAAACATTCGGTGTTCCCATGTTCTGTTTTAACAACTGCCTCTTGGTCCATGTACAGATTTCTCATGAGCACAATTAAGTGTTCAGGTATACTCATGATTCGTAATGTTGTCCGTAGCTTGTCATGATCCACACAATCAAAAGCCTTTGCATACTCAATAAAGCACAGGTAAACATTTTTCTGGTATTCTTTGCTTTCAGCCAAGATCCATTGGACATCAGCAATGATATCCCTCATTCCACTGCCTCTTCTGAATCCAGCTTGAACCTCTGGAAGTGTATGCCTGCACAGCTGTTTCTGTATTACCTTTAGTAAAACTTTACTCGCATGAAATATAAAAGATACTGATGATTTCCACATTCTGTTTGGTCACCTTTCTTTGTAATGGGCACAAATATGGATCTCTTCCAATCAGTTGGTCAGATATCTGTCTTCCAAATTTCTTGTCATAGATAAGTGAGTGCTTCCAGTGTTACCTCACTTTCTTGAAAGATTTCAATTTTTATTCCAACAATTCCAGGCGCCTTATTTTTGCCATTTCCTTCAATGTACCTTGGACTTCTTCCTTCAGTATTATTGGTGCTTGGTCATATGCTACCTCTTGAAACATTTGAACATCAGCCATTTCCTCTATGTATTCCTCCGTCTTCTATGTATTCCTCCATCTTCTTTAGATGCTTTTTGCATCACTCAATAATTTGTCCAGACAATCCTTCAATAATGAAAGTTGAGGCTTGAATTATTTCTTTATATCCCCCAACTTGAGAAATGCTGAGTGTGTTCTTCCCTTTTGGTTTTCTGACTCTATATCTTTGCACATTTCATTGTAATATTTGACTTTATGTTCTCGAGCTGATCTTTGAAATTTTCTGTTCAGCTCTTGTACCTTTGCTTTAGCGTTTCTAAGATGGAGAGCAAGTTTCAGCATCTCTTCTGACATCCATTTTGATCTTTTCCTTCTGTCCTGTCTTATTAATGACTTTTTGCTTTCTTCCTGTATGATGTTCTTGATGTCATCCCATAACTCTTCTGGTCATCGGTTTTTAGTGTTTAATGTATAAAATCTGTTCATAGTTAAGTGTAAAACACAGCATATCATCAAGCAAATCACAACTTAAGTCAAGAACTAATGGAATTCCCCTTTATTTATTTTATTTTTATAATAAATTTGGTGGAATTGATCAAAACCAACAACAGTGATTGAAAGGTCAAATTCCTTATAAAATTTCTTGTATTGTTCTTATTTTAATGGAAAATAAGATACTTTTAAAAAAGATGTATCATTTGTTTTACAATAAAAAATAAACAATAAACACTAGTGTACATCTGGTCACGTAGTGGTTACAAATCGGGCTGCGAACCTCAAGGTCAGTAGTTCGAATCTACCAGCTGTTCTGCGGGAGAAAGATGAGGCTTTCTGCTACCCTAAAGATTTATAGCCTTGGAAATCCTGTACAGGGTCACTATGACTCGGAACTGACTCCACGGCACATAACAACAACAACAACAGTGTACACTTCAGGAAGGCCTATTAGTGTCAGAGTTAAACATTTGGCTGCTATCCAAACGGTTGGAGATTCAAACAATACCAGTGGCTCCACATGAAAAAGACTAAGCAATGTATTACTATAAAGATTATGTTCTAGAAAAAAACCTATAGGCTAGTTCTACTCTGTTACATGGGATCCTTTGAGTTGAACATCAACAATAGACACCTCATCACTTTGTTGCTATTGTTATTAAGTGCCATCGAGTTGGTTCCAACCCATAGCATCCCTGTATCAGGTTTTTCAGGGAGCAACTGGTGAGCTTGAACTGCCAACCTTGTAGTTCAAACCAACTTTGCAGTCCAGTTCATTAACCCACAGTGCCACACCAGGACTCCCTCACCTAATCTAAGTATTTGAAAAAAAGCAATACTCTTAAAAGTGCTGTTTTTCTTTTTAGATTTTATCACTCCTCATTCCATTAATATGTTACACTTTCCTGAAATTGCACTTGCTTTATTTTAGAGGTTTATCTAAGATCAGCACTGGAATAACATAGATGACTTCTTGACGAAATTAAAATGGGGTCCAAACAAGACAAGGAAGTAGGAGAGAAAAATGGTCTTAGTGACCTCATCCAAGAAAGTTATCCAGTTCCTATGCAATAAAGATTGTTATCAAAAGACTTTAGGAACAGGGTCAGAAAGGACCCCAATGATAACAATCTATGATTGAGAAACACATTGTTCCTTTGTTTTTGTGAAATATTACTTTTATGTTATCAAAGAGTAATAATTTTTTCCTGCTATACCTATATATAATGCATAGAGATTTTGTGTCTACTAAGACAGCTTTAGGAAGCTATTCATGCTGTCTTCCAGATCACTTGCTTTCTGCTAATACAGTGTGATGTTGACTATCACCTCATCTCTGTGACTGACTACAGTGACAGACAACAAGCCCTCATTTGCTTGGCAACAGACTGCTAACCTCAAGGCTGATTGCTCAAATATACCAGTTGCTCCACTGTAACCCACTGCAGGTTCTCTGAGTCAGAACAGATTTAATGGAACTTAATAACAAACAACCTGATGTGTATTATTCATTCTGTATTCCTGAATATTGTGAAGTATGGGAATCACAGAATGATAAATTGTGCTCATGAAGAACCTGTACATAGACCAAGAGGCAGTCGTTCAAATAGTACAAGAGGATACTGAATTGTTTAAAATCAAGAAAGCTGTACACCAGGGTTATATTCTTTCACCATACTTATTCAATCTGTATCTGAGCAAATAATTCCAGAAGTTGGGTTGTATGAATGAGAACAGAGCATGGCATCATGTATAGAGGAAGACTCACTTACAATTTGCAATATACATATGACACAATCTTGCTTACTGGAAGTGATGAGGACTTGAAATACCAACTAATGAAGACCTTCAGTATGCATTGTATCTCAATGTAAAGAAAACAGAACTCCTTAAAACTGGATCAGTAAAAAAACATATTGATAAATGGAGAAAAAAATAGAAGTTGTGAAAGATTTCATTTTTCTTAGATCCACAATCAATCCTGATTGATGCAGCAGTCAAGAAACCAAATGACATATTGCATTAGGCAAATCTGCTGCAAAAGAGTTCTTGAAAGTGTTAAACAGCTAAAATGTCAGTTTGTGTACTAAGGTACACCTGACCTACTCCAAGGTATTTTCAGTTACCTCATATACATGTGAAAGGTGGACAATGAATAAGGAAAATCATAGAGGAATTGATGCATTTGAATTATGGTGTTGAAGAAAAATATTGAAAGGACCATGGCCTGCGAGAAGAACAAATATATCTATCTTGGAAGAAGTACAACAGAATGTTCCTTAGAAATGAGGATGGTAAGTCTTTTTCTCTTGTGCTTTGGACATGAGGGAGGAGTTCCTGAAGAAGAACATCATCGGTTGATAGCCTCGCTTTTCGGGAGCACCGCGTGGAGAGCGTCATCTTGGTCAAGATGGATTTTTCTGGCCCTGCTATGCCTCTCTTGTCGCTGAACCCAGAGTAACAGGCCAAATTTCAGAAGCAGGTGGCACAGGCCCGCCGGTGCACACCCAGCAAGAAAAATTTACTCCTGGAGTAGTATATGTGGGCCACTTACCCCGAGGCCTTTTTGAACCCCAATTGAAGGCGTATTTCTCCCAGTTTGGTACTGTTACACGACTCAGATTGTCCAGAAGTAAAAAGTCTGGAAAGAGTAAAGACTATGCCTTTGTGGAGTTTGAGTCTGATGATGTTGCCAAGATAGTTGCTGAAACAATGAACAACTACCTTTTTGGTGAAAGACTCTTGAAATGCGATTTGATGCCATCTGAGAAAGTACATGAAAAACTTTTCAAAGACTGGGATGTTCCCTTTAAAAAGCCATCAAATCCAGCAGTGAAACGGTATAATAAGAAACGGACAACTGCAGAAAAGCTACGGATGGAGAAGCGATTTAAGAACAAAGAAAAATTACTCAGGAAGAAGATAGCTAAAAAAGGAATAGTGTATGATTTTCCTCCATTGATTTTACCAAAAAAGAAAA